CCCCAAAACCCCAAAACCCCAAGTATTATTAATTTTTGTATTATGGTCATAAAACTGTGTTGGTAAAATAAAGAATAGTAAATATTTTGAATTTTAGTCAAAAATCACACAGTACTTCGAGTGAATCTTTTATGAAATAAATTTTTATACTTGAGCATTTAAGCTTCATTTTTTGCTCTTATTCATAGGCTTGCTAGCTGACTTCTAATTCGGTGCATCTCTTGTTTCTCCTAATGCTTTTTCAAGAGCTACTGGGTCTTAGATATTAACTGTCTTAAGTTTTTCTATTCTGGGTACTAATTCCTTATAAAAAGTCTTTACCTTATTAGGCTCATTCAACTGGAATATTCGCTCAAATATGAGTACCTCAGGCATAGTGTTTTTTACATCTCTTAGGAATCCTTTAATTATAATCTGCTGAGTTTCAGATACCATAGTATGTGAGAGGTTATATTAGTTAAGTTGGCTCGATTCCTTGATGAAATCATAGCATCTCATTCTATGATGATTATCTCTGAAGTCATGACCAATTACATCTAGAATAGGACCTAATATCTTCTCAAGAATTGCACAAGTCGCATAAATGCTTTAAGTAGATAAAAATATTGCCCCAATAATCTTTCTAAAGCATCTTCCAAATATCTTAGGATTGTAAGATTGGTTTAGTTGGTAGAATACTTTTTGAGACTCATTAGTTAAAGTTTCGTAACTGCTTTAGTACTTAATTTATGAAGATTTCTAAGTCATGAAAGTATCATCAAAATTGAATTTAGATTGTTCAAGGGATTCAAGGGTAGAATCATTTGCAGTTCTATCCTCAGTATATGCATCGGTATTGAAACTCTCTTTGACTAGCTGAGAGTCATCCAAAAACGATGATAACCCTGATATCCTGCTTATATTAATCCCTGACTGATCTCTTTGAATGATACTAATACTTTTAATAACTGGCTTGTGATAAGGATGAAGCTCATTTATGCTTAAGTAGTCTTAGGCTAAGCCTATAAACTTAGCAACATCTTTAGTACTGTACTTACCTTTATCATAGAAGAGTACCTTATCTAGTTAAAGGTAAACTCCAACTAACTCCAAGAACAAGAAACTGTTGACTTCGCTCTTTCTGTCATGAAGAATCTACGGATCAATTTTTTTTTCAAAATGACAGAATCTTTTCATTGTGTGGTAGTTGATTAATGACTCTCCCAGTTTTTCCATCCAGCTGTTATCTATTAATTGTTGTTGTTCTTTTTTGTCTTTTATTTGCTCTAGATATGTCTGATTGACGCAAGCTTGCACTAAGAAACTGTCGAAATTGTTTTGTATTCTTGATTAGATATCAAAATTTAATTATTCTTCTCCTAACTTTAAGTAATCCTAATCTTATTGTAATAGCTATCTTAATTTCTCACTCTCTAAATCAGGCTATTTTGTATCATTTCTCACCAGATCCAAAATGTAGTTCTTAATAAAGTCAAATTATGTTTTTTTCTCTTAATACAGTTTTTTTACCACCTCTTGAGGTATTCTATTCTTCATTTGATTGATGTTAATTACCTATCTCTTTTACTTCCACTCAATGTATTCAAGATCATTGTTGAAATTCTAATCTTTATGTCTATCTTTACTGCTAAATAAGTCAAATTTTGTGGTCAAAATGTGAGCCATCAATATACCATATAAATCCTCCGCCATTCCAATGATAGCCTCGATTTGATCTGATATCTTTTTATCACTTGGATCTATTCTCATGATCATCTTGTCATTTTAATCTATATCATAGTTGTTTATGACTTTTTTATTCGCATCTTTCTTCTTCTTTTCTTCTTCTTATCTTTATTTATGCCTTTTCTTTTACTCAGACTTCTTAACAGCATTAACAAAAGATAATCTTTCTTCAAGATATCTAGCTATTGAGATTTCTTGAATATTATCAAATTCCTTTAGCTCCTCAGGATGCTCAATAGGAGATTCATCTTAATCTGTATAAAAGAAAGCGTCTTGTCTCTACGATAATACATTTTTAAAGAGCTTCCAATATCTCGGGTCTAAGGATTTTTTAAGATCTGGAATCTATATCATTAGCCTGATTATGAAGTTCAAATCTTCTATTTACTGAACTATCATACCTTGTAATTGCTGGCTTTTATAATCTTAATTAGTTTGGTAGATATTTTAATTCAAATAGGATTGATATTAATTGTAGTAACCTCTCGACTTAAAATCAATTTAAGTCTTATTCTTAATATATTTTGGGTAGTTTATCTTCTCAAGTTCAGGTGGTACAATCATATTGAAATTATTAAAGTCAAAGATCAGATATTTATAGAGTTGATTTTTCTTATCAATACTCTTTTCTCTAAAATTTTCATTTGAAACAAGTTCTTTTCTTTTTGAATCTAAAACATGACTCTCAAGTTGATTATTATCATCGAATAAGTCAATGTAAAGTAGAGTTGATAATATATTATCACCAAGTTTCTCATAAACCTGATGATTAAATATTCTCACGCTCGTAGCCACTAAGGATTAAGTAACTTTAGCAGATTTTTTATATAACTGCGTCTTAAGTTTTTCACTATTATTAAAGTATTATATCAAATCTTTATCTTAAGGGGAATCATAGAAATTTAGGATAAATGGAGGTATTTCAACTTTAGAAAGATGTGTATCTATCAGGTCCTTTGCTTTTAGTAATTCATTTAATTTCAAGTAGTTGAAATAGCCTTACTACATTACTAGGTACTGATTAGTAGTTATTGGAGTCATTATTAGCAATTCAGAAGGTATATCTATATGTTTAATGTCTAATTTATCCTCTTTAAATTTACCTTCAAATTTAGGGAAGAGATCTATGAAGTATTTTAGGCCTAACACTTTTAAATTATATGGACTAGTGGCTCTAGATGTAAAGCAGCCTTACAATTCAGCATAGTACTATTATATCGTTAGATATCTTTTGGAGTTGAACTTCTGCAGATCTTTAGCATATTAATCCTTGATCTCATTAGAACTTTAATCATTCTTCAACTTGTTTTCCTATACCTCTAATTTTATATATTCCAAATCGCCTTCATCAGAATTAATATCATAATGTTTTCGCTACTTTATTGCATCTCTTATAGCGAACTTTCCTTCTCCAAATGGACTTACGTGAATGAATTAAGAGATTTATAGAGGATGAATAGGATCTATGAAATATTTTCCGTAGATTTATTGACTTCTTTAGTTTGAGTTAAACTCAGGTCTTAAAAATATATTCTGAAGTCTTTTTGTCACATAGAAAATGCAATCATCTATTAGCTAAAAGTTAATCTCAAATTAGTTTTCCTACTTTTTTATAATAGGTATTGTAATCATTTTTATCTAACTCATATCATGCTTTAAGTTTATTTTTTCTTTCTTTTGTTAAAACTTATTATTAAAGTATAGATTTATATAAGCCTTATTACTAATGCTTAAGAGTTAGTTTAGTACTTTTCCAAAAATAATATTACTAAAGCTGAATTTGTTTAAGAGTATTCCTTCATAAAACTTTAGATCTATGCAGTTAACAAAGAAATACATGAAGCTGTGATAGAATTTCAAGATTTAGTAAAATTAAGTAGTATCAGCTTAATATTTATCAGGAACTTTAAACTTATATTGGGACATTTTCCATTGCTTGTTTGTTGTTTCAGTAATAAATTGCTAATGTTATTATAAATAGTCCTAATTTGTTTATTATTTTAAACCAGATTTCAAATTAAGATACTTTTCGGGTCTTTATGCAATTAAATTTTAGAGTGCTTCATATCTTGGTTTTAATAGTTCCTGATTCTTCTATAATTATGATTTTTGAATGAATATTTAATATTCTGGTAGCAGCTATGATAGGTCTTCATTATTTAGGATTCCAAGATAGTCATTATTAAATGGAGATGGATATTCATTTAATTAGTCTACTTCGTGAAATACTATGATTTTTACCTCATTTGGATTTTAAATAGTTAGAGGTCTTTGAATATAGTCATTCATAACTTCTAATGGTTCGGTAGGTTACCCTTATTTTTTAAGTGATATAGGCTTTAATTTCTTATCAACTAATCCTAATTCAATCAGATATTGAAGACCATCAATAGATGCCTCCAATTCCATCTGCTACTTTGATACAGTTTTAGCTCTGTATAATTTAGATGATGGATTCTTTATGAGTCTTTACTCTCCCTTTTGTTTGATTACGTATAAGATGATATTATAAAGTTCCTATGAAAAAGTTATTTCAATCTTCTCTTCTGATTTATCTTGATTCTATTGTAGCCTGAAGATATTTTTGAAATCTAATCTATCTTTATCAACTTTATCTCCGTCATCTCATGGAATTTTATTGAGATTTCTTATAGTATTTGTTATCTATTCAAATGTAATAGTAGCTTAACTATATTATATTTCTGCATCACCAATTTTAATAACCCTAAGTAAAAAGTTATGTTTTAATATATTTTTAAGGATGATTACTGATCAGTATTCGTGCTCTTTTTTTCCATTTTACTCTTATTTATTAATTTCAATTTGAATATATTAATGACTAATATTCACTAAAATTCAAAAATGATCATAATATGGGGTTTTGGGGTTTTGGGGTTTTGGGG